AATTTCTATCGACGGTTTATCAAGGGCTTTGGCTCGATTGCAGCTCCGCTTACAGCTCTGACGCGCAAGGACCAGAGGGACTACCCATTTCCCTGGCAATCAGGCAGCCCGGAGGACCGGGCTTTCCAGTGGCTAAAAACCGCGTTTAAAACCGCCCCTATCCTTGCTTATTTCGACCCTAATAAGCAATCATGGCTAGAAACGGATGCTTCTGACTTCGTCACCGCCGCTGTCCTGTCTCAGAAAGGGGAGGACGGGATACTTAGACTAACGGCTTTTCTTTTAAGAAAGATGACTCCTATAGAGACTAATTACGATATCTACGATAAGGAACTTTTGGCCATCATTAAGGCCTTTAAAGAATAGTATATCGAACTATTAGGTAATAAGGTAAAACACCCGATCTAAGTGATTTCAGATTATAAGAACCTCGAATACTTCATAACGACGAAGAAACTTAATAGGCGTTAAGCTCGCTAGGCAGAGTTTCTATTATAGTTTAAATTCGTTATTAATTATCGACCAGGAAAGCAAAGTACTAAACCTGACGCGCTTACGAGGCGCCCTAGAGATCTCCTAGAGAGTTTCGACGACCCTAGAATCAAACAGTAAGAACAATGTATTCTCGAACCTCACCGTCTTAATCCGCGAATACGCTAAGACCCGAAATCCTTAATCCGACTGGCTTATATAGTCACTAATACGTTGACATACTCTATAAAGGAGATCATAGGAGTACTAACCGATGTGCTCGAAACGGAAGTCCCGGAAGCAGACACCCTAAAACCATCCGCCGAACTAGTACCTGAACCGGAGCCGTTAGGACTAAGACTAACCGCCGACGACCTAACAGTAGACACTCGAGAGTTTATTTTAGGAGATACTAAGCTCCTAGATACATAGGAAGTATAGGAACGTATTATAACTCTTTCGAAGGAAGATCAAATTATCTAAGACATTATTACTATAGTAGAACGAAAGGACCGAATCATCCCTTACCACTTGATACATCGATACCATATTCGCCTTAACATTGCCAAATATACCGTCTCTCCCGAGGGAGTTCTAAAGGTCGCTGACCGCCCCTACGTCCCTAACAACGTTCCCCTCCGAATAGACATTATTAAGATGGTTTATAACTCTTTGCCTGGAGGGCATAGAGGAAAACATGCCACCTACGACAAATTGGCACATTAGTACTACTGGCCCGGTATAACGAAGATAGTGACATAGTTTGTCCGCGCATACAAGGACTGCTATATAGTTAATATACGAAGAGATAGAAAAAACGGACTCCTGTATTCACTCCCAGTTCCTAAACGGTTCTAGACCGACTTATCAATAGATTTTATTACTTACCTCCTACCAAGTCAATATTTCGGACGGAAGTACACGTCAATTATGGTCATCGTCGATCGCCTGTCAAAAAAGAAACGGTTTATCCCGATAAGCGAGATCACCGCGCCCGAAGTAGCTACGACCTTCCTCGAATACGTATAGAGAGAGGTCGGTTTTCTACGAACAATCGTCTTAGATAGAGGTCGATAGTTTGTTTCAAAGTCCTAGAAAGCATTGTACGATCGTACGGGGATAAGCCGAAACTATCTACCGCTTATCACCCAGAGACTGATAGGTAGACCGAGATTGCCAACGCTGCTCTCAAGCAGTTCCTTCGAGCGTTTATTAACTACAAGCAAGATAACTAGGCTATACTACTTCCTATCGCCGAGTTTGAATCGAATTCTAGCAAGAATATAAGCACTAATATAACTCCGTTTAAGTTGACCAAAGGTTATATACCCCGAGCTAGCTTTAAACCTCCGATAAGCGATACTGAGCCTAGGAACAAAGAAGTAAGAGATACTATAACCATGGTCAGGCGATTAGGAGATATACAAAAGCTAGCTCGCGAATAAATGGCCTAGGCTTAAGCGCTACAGAAAGAGTAAGCCGACCGACATCGCTTACCCGTACCACGATTTCAAGTTAGCGATCACGTATACCTCGATACTCGCTTCCTAAAGTTATCCCGACCATCGAAAGGGTTGGACCTAAAGCATATTGGACCTTTCAAAGTGATCCGCGCCATTCACGACATGGCCTACGAGCTCGAGCTGCCTTTATCTATTAAGAACGTCTACCCGGTTTTCTACCCTTAGCTCCTGTACCTCGACGACGGGATACCTCTCCCCGGTCAAAATATACCTCCCGCTCCCGCTAAGTTAGACGAAGAAGGGGAGGAGAATTAGGAAGTTACGAGGATCGTTAACTGTAGGTTCAATAAGAAGAATAAAGATAAGACCTCCGGGAAGAAAGGTACTCTACAGTATAAAGCTCATTATAAGGGCTAGAATAAGTAGAATTAGAAACCAGAGTAGCAGCTATGGCAGGATGTTATAGGCTCGAGGTGACACGGTCTGGATGCGCAAGGTCTGCGATTACCAAGTTCCATTAATCTAAACTGAAGAGAGAGGGAGAAGAAATCTCCCGGCACCTTTGTGCGCGAGATAGCGACTCTCCTCTCCAATGCCCTACTGCTGTGTTACCATGTTTGTTTGCTTCTCTGATATAGAGGTCTTCCCGGTGGCGTGCACGGTCCCACCTCGTGCACGATTCTCAAAGCGACATCACGGTCCGTATTTGAGGCTATTCGCACCCATTTAAATAAGATATATATAAAAAAAAATTAGTATTAAGGTCTATGTAACTAGGAGATCATTTTGGCGTAATTTCGCAGTCTTGTAGGTGTTTGGGGAGGCGTCGAACACGCTGTGGGCGCGCCTGGTGCCCGCCTTCTTCCACCACCTCCTGCACCACTTCTTTCGTGATTTGGGGGTCTTGGGGCTCTAGACTTTGGTGTAAAGAGGCTTGTATATGGGTTTTCTTAGTAGTTTGACGGATTTTTGACTCCTTTCGTAGTTGTTGATTCGCTAGTCGTGCCTGTCACGATGCCTCTTTCTCCGTCACTATACGTGCCTTTTCCTGCTCGCGCAAAGTGCGTGCCTCTAGGCGTTGGATCCTCCTTTCCATTAGCAATCTTTCTTTCTCTTCTTTTCGCCGTGTCCTTTCTAGCCTTTCCTCCTGTTTTTGGGCTTGTAGATCGGATTTCTCCTGCTCTTTTTGTATCTGGAGGTCGCGAGCTCGCTGAATCTTCGAGGGACTAAAGAATTGGGCCTTAATACCATCGTTTTCAGCACGAAGGTCGTCAAAAACCGGTCTAGCCCGCGTACGCTTCTTTTTCTCGTTGACAATAGCCTGCCGTAGGCCCTGATTCTCTGCCCGAAGGAGAACCATATCGGTTGAAAGTTGTGCGACCGCGGAGTATAATTTTTTGGTCTCCGCGCTTACTACATCACCAACCGCCTCACGTACGACCTGTTTCACATGTCTCCAATCCGTAGAGGATAAGTGAGAATGCCCTGACGAAGAATTAGAGCCCGGTCGGCGCGGTTCTTCACTCATCCCTAGCGCCTCGAGATCGATCGATCTATCCAGTGGATTCAGTCCAGTCTTCCGCCAACCACTTAAGATGTTTTCCTCGATGAAGGCCTTGCCCCACGCGACCCAAAATAAGCGAAAAAAGTCTCGTTTCGTGATAGAACAGAGTCCTTGGCTTTTAGAGATGTGTTGGTTGAGTTCCTGGCCGTAGTACACCGCAAGGGGACTAAAAAGGCTAACATCAAGAGGCTGTAGGCGATGGGTCGTGTGAGGCGGGTAACAACACACCAAGATCTTTGTTTTCGTGGCACCAATCCAAAAATCTCATATTAATATGGCTCCCATGCCCGTCAATCACCAGGAGCCGATACCGCCGCCGCGCCTTTGCCTTGGTATACCGATCGAACACGTTCGTCAACCAGTTATACCCTAATTCGTCGTTGGTCCACCCGGTTGGTGATGATGCAAAAAAGGCGGCGTGTTTCTGCGCGTCGAAATCCTGTAGCCAAGAGTCCTGGAGATTGCCTGAAACGGCCTGGTAAATCAATCCAGGCGGTAGCCACGATCCATCCGCACAAATGCAGGCAAGTGTGACAGTCTTGGGCTTTGCCCAGTCTGTGTGTTGTGGCCTTGCGGCCTAAGGCAGAAGGGATGGGTAGACCGTTTGCCCACAGATGTAAATAGCAGATCGCAGTGAGAGAGATCTTCTCCTTCTCTCTTTAGCAATTCAACAGCGTTACCAGCTTACCAAATCCTTCGTGGTTTGGGCCCTTGACAGATACTATAAAGAAACAAGTGAACGAACAACTGCCCCTCCTCGAAATCCGCTCTAAACTAATTACCCTCAGTGCTAACAAGCTCCCGAGTGGCCGCCGTGGGGAGGCTAAGGCCGGTTTACGAACGCAAGCAGAGAACCTCTACTTCTTTAACCCGTTCGAGCTCTTTAGGACAATCTTGTACACCGAGCTACGCTTAAATATGTTCTTTGGGATGGCTAGGTTCGTCGACTCGCCTAAAGAGCTCTGGGAATCTATTGCCTGGGCGTCGTCAATCCGTTGCTCTTCTGGCCAGTACGCCTACTATCCAAATACGACCGAGCCAGTTTTTCCTTCGGATCTCGTCCGTTTCAAATGCAACGATACACAGTGTCTCTGTCAGACGATGACGCAAAAGCCGCATCTTAGCCAAATCGTGGCTTTTGGAAGGGATTTCCGCACATATCGCGAGCATAGTAGCCCAGAGGGTTCGATTGTCCTCAAGGTCCAGCGGTTTCAGCTAATAAACCAGTTCCTCTCTCGCCCAACGTACTAAAATCTTACTCTCGACCCGCCTCCTCACTCCCGCGAATTCATTATGCTAGATAATACTATCGACGTTGTACCCGAAGAATTGATTGAGCGCCTAACAGACAGCCTCTCTCTAAACGAGCATATTGTACGTCGGGTCTATAACCAGAATACAGGTATCCGGCCTATCTTTAAGACCCACCCGATCCGCGGCGAACTTGAGCTTGAGGTCTATGGGCGAGAATATTTC